AAAAAGTATGCGCAAAAGATATAATAAAAATAAAATAAAAACGATACTCAGCCTGAATATTTTTTACATATTTTATTTGACCCTTTTTTTTAATCTTTTTTACACAATTAGACAATGTTTTTATTTTTTCTAAATTCCTCTTCCATAACAATCCATATATATAAGTTGACCAAAAAAAATCATTCATGATGTATTCCCTCCAATTAAAAATATAAAACATTTTTAATCAAATCTCACCCTTCAGTAAAGTAGTTACATACTTTTTAATTAACTCTATCTTTTCATACTTACTCCTATGAAACACCCTATAATAAATATAAAATTATTCATCAATAGAGGCACTTTTGAAAAAAAGTAATAATTACACTTCAAAAGACTAAAAATATCTTAAATTTTTAAATATCCAACTTATCAAAAAATACTTTATATTTTTAAATGAAAAGAGCGTGTGTGCGTGCGCCTGCACCTTACATTTTTTGAAAAGGAGCGTGTGTACCTTACATTTTTTAAATAGGAGTGTGCGTGTGTGCGTGTGTGCATGTGTGTTTACCACCAATGAATGGCATCCAATCATAGAGTTGGAAAACAAAACTTCCTAACCCATATGAGCTCAGCCCTTATAAACCCAACGCTTGTGAGCCTAGCCCTTGAAGCTCAAATTTCTAATACCCTATTTTTTATGTCTGACTCTTATTTAAAGGGCTCAAGGCTGAGCGCTTAAGCCTATTTAAAAAAAATTAAAATAAAATTATAGAATCAAAGCAGGTGCTTAAGTCCAAGACATTATTAGTTGCTTCTTCTTCTTCTCTTCTTCTTTGCCACCCTTCCACCATTGCTTCGGCTAGGTTGAATAATCATAGAATCAAAGCACGAGAATCACACAATCAAAGGCTGACTTTGGTCCCTTTAATGATTACATTTGCTCTCTAATTGGAGCTTTCATGTCCAACTCTTTAAAGGGTGACTTTGGTCCAGTAATAACATGAACAAAGATAAAGTTATAAGTGCAATAGAAATGATTTGTCATCCAATCATAAAAATGATCTAATATCATTACAATGCTCTTTCATTTATGTACCAAATAGGTAGCAAAAAAAAAAAGACCCTTGGATAAGCCAAACGGACAGTAACTAGGAATGTAAATGAAAAATTAAGACATATAATTTATAAGGTGTGTAAAATAATTTTAATACAATTCCCCACACAAAAGCCAACAGCAAAATAACATGATCTAAAATTTTTAACAAGCTAAACTAGCAATGAAAAAAAAAAAAGAAAACTAGATTTGGAAGGTCACCCAAATCTGAACCTATTTTTTCAAGGCATATTAGGGCCGGACTTTGAAACTCAATTTTAAAAAAAAATAACTAATTTTTAAGCCCAAACTTTTATAAAAATAGGTTTAAATGGGCGGCCCTTTAGGTTCAATTTTTATTTCCAACTCTACCTGGTCGCTGAGAACAACAACAACAACTAATAGTTAGTCAATACTAGTAAGAGAGAAGGGCAAATTTGTGAGACTAACTCATAAATAATTTTTTTATTTGAGACTTATAAATAATTTTTTTCAAACAATTAGGCTCCATCCATTTTTAACTAACGCTGCTCTACCAGGAAGAAAGGATTTGGTAGGTGGTTGATTTTTTTTTCCAACTTTACCCTTCTTTAAACGTACCGAAATGAATCGTATTGATGTAAATAGTAGGATCAGTACTATACTCTATTGAGTATTTTAGAATAAAATACATTTGTTACTCCTAGGCATCGCAAAATATCTCACATATATTGGAAAAAAATTGAAACTTCTTAAAACGTGTTCTATATTTGAAAGGAAGCTAGCATATTTATTTTATATAAGGGTAATTAAGGTGTATATGACTTTCAGGTAGGTTTGTGTAATTAATACGGTCTAGTTGAGAAATTAACAATACGAGAGACATGTCATAGTATAGTCTCTTGATATAGTAGACATCGAATGACCCACTTCTTTTATTTATTTTTTCACGTTTTATTTAAATTGTTATTTATTTATATTCCATAAAATCGTTGCTTGCAATTGAAGTCTATTATCTATTATTATTGGAAAAAGACAAGTTGAATGTGGCTTTTCACAAGCGAATAAAAATGAAAGGACAAAACTATCAGCGGCACTCCAACGAAATGAATGATTCTCATGAATATATAGATTACATGTTATCTTCCTCTTTCTCTTGCCGAGCTTCAATCGTTTTTTTTTTTTTTTGGCCGCATGTATCACTGTTTTTTGTTAGGACCGTGCCCATACGATTTGATTGCCCTATCAAAGACGATTAGTGTAATAATTATTTTTAATTATTTATTTCTTTAAATACAGTGCGAGTGATTAAAATATTGACTGAATTATTGAAGAATCCAGCTAATGAATAATGATACCCTTTGAATTGTTGATAATGCGATATTATTGTGGTCATACATATGGGCCCTTTTAAGACGTTTAAGAATTTAACATTGTGAATCTATAACAAGTCAGAAAAGGACGGTTTGTGAACAAATTAAATAAGTAGAGAATCACAATGTTAGAACATTCGAGATCCAAACATACATATATATGTGTGTGTGGGCGCGCGCGCGCAAAATCTTGCAATGATTACCCTCAAGTTTCTTTAAAATATATAACAATATTAGACAATTAAGCATATTTTCTGAATATGGCATCCATTCAATTTAAAAACATAAAATCCTATTATACATACATATATAAATATACTCCCTCCGTTTAAAAATATAATATATTTTTAAAAAATTAAATATTAAAAAATATAAAATATTTTTAATTTTTTAAGGTATAATCATTGTTTTTTTTTAAGTGCCCCTGTTAATGAATAATTTTATATTTATTGTAGAATATTTAATAAAAATAAATATAAAAAAATAAAATTAATTTAAAAATAGGTAATTACTTTATTGGGGTGAAATTTAATTAAAAATATTTTATATTTTAAACAGAGAGAGTATTTAATTATCATTTCTATACTTGATTCTTGTTACATTCAATGAGGGGAATTTTTTAATAGACTAACATCAACTTATATATTAATTGTTACTTCTTGTTATATTTTTTTAACTCGATTATAGCAGTCCGTTATTCTCAACTTTTGAAATTCACACTCTTTAATCCTTTAATTTGATTCCCTCCCATGTCAAATAATAGTTATCACCGCTATGGTGCTTGCATTTGGTTTAGTTTAATTAGATGTCTCGAATTCAAGTGGCCTAAACATATAGTAATGATTAAATTCTTAATGGGAGTTATGCCCTCATAAGAGGTGCCTGTACACTATTAGTTAGATTAGTCTTCAAGAATTTGGGATACTGGAACTCATGCGAAAAAGAAAGTAATTAGCAACAGGTATTTCAAAATGAGATTAATGAATTCCTCATTTTTAAATTATTGGCCGATGATGGTTGGATTAATGATGATTTGTAGATCATCTCAAGGCCATATATGACCCTAAAAAGAGAATTGGCACCCACCAATTATGAGTACCCTAAAATGTAATGTTGATGCTACTTTCTATTGATCAAGGTCAAATTCTACTAACGTTGGGATTATTTTCAAGAACCATCTGGATAATCTCATTTTTTTATTCAATGAAGAAGATTAGTGCCACTTCACCTCAAGTGAAGCCTTTGCATTGTATAAAGCTCTCTACCTCATCTCAAACCATAGTCTTGGGAAAGCAAAGTTTGTATTTGATTGTAAGATGTTTGTTGATGCTATTCTATCTAATTCTAATTATCCTAATTGGCTTCGTTCCACACTCATGATTGATATTTGAGGTCTCCTTCTAGATAATAATACTTGATCCTTCTCCTCGATCTCTAGAAATGCCACTTTAGTCAGTGATGGGTTAGTTTAAGATCATGTCCCAAAGGTGCGCCCTTATGGATGGTATTTGTCTTTCTCTCCCCCTTTTTATGTTTACTATCCTTTGATTTTTTCCTTCTTATTCTAATGTAAATGCTTTGGTTGATTAATGAATTTCTCTTTTATGGGGAAAAAAAGAGATTAAATTATTCCATCAATAAAAGTTTGTTTAGTTAGTGAGAATGTAATATAATTTATACTTATATGAATGTGGAGATGGTTTCCTTATTAATCAAATCCATGTTTTTTCCAAAGAAAAAAAATCCATTTTTTAGAAGGGAGAATTTCAATTAAGAACCCAGGATATGATTTAATTATTAATGGATCTAAAAAAAATCTAAAAATTCAATTCACTCTAAAAGGATTGAAGTAAAAATAATTTTAATGGTAAAAATATCAAAGTACCATTTCTTGTTAATTTTGTCCAAAATGCAAAACCACTAATTGTCTATTTTTTTACTTTACTTATTAATTTATTTATAAATTATATGATTTGATCTGTCAATGACTATACAAAATTTAAATATTAGTTGTTCAATTATAAGAAATAACATCAATTGTTAATTAGCTAGCTTTATTTATCAATTCACTAGTATGAATTATAAATTACTGACATGCCTTGTAAATTACAGTTGATGTTGATGAATCAACAAGCAAAGTTAGAAAATTAATAATGGATATTGTTGATTGTCTGACAAACTAATATAATTTACCACTCATATTGATAAATTAAAAAGTAAAATAAAAAAAATAACAATCAATAATTTTGTATCTCTAACAAAATTAATAAGTGAAGAGTAATTTAGTCCTTACTGTTAAAATTATTTTCACTTTAATCTTCTTAAGTTGAACTAAAATTTTAATTTTTTTTTAAAACTCACTAACAGTTAAATTACATCTCAATCCTTAGTTAAAATTCCCCCCCCCCCTTTTTTTAATTCAAGCGGAGGCAAATGAGAAGGTGAAATATCGATTCTGGAAAGTCAAAGAGAATTGCAGGGAGCGGGTGGGGCCCACACACAGTAAAACCGTGACTGGCCCCACATTCCCCGCGTGAACGTAACGCCTCTCCTTTCTTGTCCCACAGTTGCGAACGGAGGAGTGTCTTCAAACTGCAGCTTCTTATTTGAGAATTGCAAGCACCTTTATCCAAAAATAGTAGTTACTACAACCAATTGATTTAATTTTCCGTTTATTCTTGTGTTAAGCGTGGGCATTACCAAGTTCATTTCACGTCTATTTAGATTTTATTTATTATTTTAGTATTTGATAAAATACATACTAGTTATGTTAGTCCGTCCTTAGAGTTGGAGAACAACATTGTTTAAATTTCAGCTATGCTTCACTATGAATTGGTAAATAATATTAAATACTAAATAGCCATTGTGTAGTTTTTCTCAGTAAAATAATTTAAAAATATATTTGCATTTAAAAGTAAAAAAAATCAAAAGTCATGTAAAAGAAAAATTGGATGCCTTTGAAATCAACAAGGCTACCAATTTTTAGTGATTTACTTTCCGTTTATTCTTCCAAGCATCACAGAGTCTTTTTATAGAACAAGGTCAAAAAGAAACGGGGAAAATATAAGAAGGGAACAGCCAACTCATCTTCTTCCAATTCTATCCCTGGCAAAAGACAAAGCAAAGAGCGGAAGTTACAAGACTTCAATTTACAAATCAATGCCAATTATTAACGTGCTTTAAAGGGAAAAATATATTATTGAATAGAGAGACTATTAATTAATTAGTATATTCCAAAATAGCAAATATCACTCTTCTTCCGTTTTTCTAATCTAGCAACCTTCCTCTCTCACACACACACACCACACACACACAAACACAACCCCCCCCCCTTTCAATTCTTCGGACACGGCAAATTTTAAAAACTTTTTTGTTATTAATATAAAGTAGAGTTACAATAAATGTTTTTCATCTTACCCCTTATTTATTAATTATGATTTAAATTCTTATACAGTAATTTATTGTGGTTATTTAATTGCAAAGAAGAGGAGAATTGAGAAGTTACATATTTTTAACAATTTTAAGAATATAATTATTATTTTTCAATAAAGCAAAATTGGTTAAATTTGTCCTATATTAAGGATTAGAAGGAGGAGTATATACATAACCCACTTGGATTTTGATCCTTTGCTTTGGAACCTATCACAATTCACAACATGTTTATCTTCAAAGTTGAAACACATGAAAACAAGAACAGAGGGATGAACAAAAAGGTTGGAAGACTAGAACTTACAATTTTGATAATGACAAAGCAGATTCAATCCCCAGCTGGTCCTTCATCCTCCCCCCAAATTCTTAATTTCTTTACAATCATCTCTCCCTCTCTCTCTCACCAAGCAAACACCTCTACCTCTAGCAACACCTACTCTTATGACTATAATTGCATATATATATATATATATATATTAATTATATTAATTATATTTTACATATATATAAACATGACAGAACAAGAGACAATAGTAAGGAAGTCCTATTCAAAACAGGGCGGCATCTTCTGTTTTTCTTATTTGTTTTTATCTCACAGCCTCGAATCCTTTCTCCTTCCTCACATGCTTCATCAATTTCAAACCACCTGCACAATCCACAGAATTAGCCTCAAATCATGACCAAAAAAAAAAATCGCTACGAAAAGTTGTGTGGCTTTTCCCCCCTCGCTGAGCTTTTGAGAAATGCAGTTATGGTGAACGAGAGAAACAAACTACCATGGGTGAACCATGGCATCAAGCAATTAACCGACCCTCTATTCTTTTGAACTCGTCCTTGGAAATTTGTAGGCACACTCACTCCACTAAAAGTAAATGTGAAAAAATTAATAAGATTGCAACCCAATCAGATGTTTCAAGTACAACAATTCTCTGACACACCTGTACTGGTAAAAAAACAGTGACCTGTAGAATCCTCCGTTCCGTATGATTTTGCAGAATAATTATTGAAATTTGAAGATGAAAAAGTCCTACTGATCCACTCTCTTGCGCACACAAATCCTGTTTCGTAGATATTTTTGGGTTGTGATGAAAACGAAGAATCGGGAAAGAAAGCGAGAGGAGTAGATATTTTGAGCAAATAAATAAACTATTCTTGTTGGTGCGCGATTAGTTTCTGAAACGGAATCACGATAGTTACTGAAGCATTCAGAAACCAGAACAGGCCAGAACGCGGTAACGTCCTTCAAAAAACTCTTTCGTACACACAAAACAACACAAAAATAATAATCCTCAAATACAAAGCACCACGTGATGTGTTGTCCACAAACTCAGAAAAGCAAAGGAAAATGAACTGGACGGACAAGTAAAACAGAGGACAAAAAAAAAAAAGAAAAAGAAAAACAAGATCAAGAAGCAAAGCAGATCTCAATTCATGAGAATGAAGATCGGTCCAGATGATTCGAGGAAGCTAGCCAGCTCAGTGATTCGATCTGAGAAAGAATATGAAGCCGAATTGGGAATTACCTTGGGGCTTGCAGTGAGGCGGATCTTCGAAGAGAGAGAGGGAGAGTTGCTTGTGAGCGACTCCAATGTCGAACAGTATCAAGCCAGATTTAGGGTCATCGACGATTATATCCTTAACGGGAAGCCATAGAAATAGCTCTTCCTGAGACAGACCTTCAACTCCAATGAGACTGCCGTACGTGAGATTGGCTCTGACGACGCTGTCAAAGAACACTCTGGTCTCGTATTTCGTCAAGCAAGGCCCGTTGAGGAAAACCTCCAATCGGCCGTTTTCGGACAACGTGTAGGACTTGACCTCATCGGGCAAGAGTCCGGCCGGCAAGCCCTTGGAGCGAAGCAGGTCGTGAATGGAGGAGGAGGAGGAGGAGGAGAGAGAAAGTGGGGAGGAGACAGAGGGGAGAGGGAGAAGGAGGGAGAGCGAGAAGAGGAGGAAGAGGAAGAGGGTGGTGTTAAAGAAGGCCATGGTTGCATACATCTAAAAGAGAAAGGCACATGTGGTGGATGAGGAAGAAGGAGGGTTTAAGGCAAGTTTCTTTTGTATGCTGTGAGACGATCAGAAGCTGGAAAATAGAAAGACTATTTTAAGATAGGTTATACAGTCATGAATTTACTATTCTGCCCTTGTCTTGCTGACTTCAAGATTCTTATTTTTTTCCGTTGCTGGAAAATAAATTTTTTATTTTTTATTATTTTTTGCTATATTTAATTATTAATTCTTTTGATGAAAACATAATATTTGCACCGTAAAATCTCCTAAATTTTCAGTAAAGTTATCCTTACTAAACCACCATTAGTTTTAAAATTAAAGTAATTAAAGGACTAATCTCATAAGGATTACCAAGCTATAATTTATAAAAGTGAGAACCCAAATTTTTTTCAATTCAAAACACTTTCAAATAATTCCTATCATTCACAAATTAAAGTTACCAATATATACAAAAAAGTGAGATATCAACAAAGCATTTGTAAAGAAAGTTGAGAATATCATTTTCAGCAAAACAGCATAAGTGCGCTATGGCACGTTACTTTATGTGCCATGTATCGTGACATATTGCACTAAATTTGATAGTATCTTTACTATCATGAGACAGCTCTAAGGCTGAACTTCCAACATGCCATATTTCTCTATCCAACATCCAATTGAGGCAATCTTAGTATTTATGAAAAGCTTTCTCCTAACTTTGTCTAATGGCACTGATTTTGCAGTTAAATCATTTTTCGATTAAAAGTTGAGCGCCCATTACAAAACTCACTCCTTTTGTACAATAACACACAACTACATTGTCTATTTCACAATACAAGTTTCAAAAGTCTATACCAATCATTATACTATACTCAATGGATTATCACAGACTCATACAACACACCATAGTCAATCAACCACACATAAATCACATTTTTAACGCTCAACTCCTTAAGTTACAAAAAACATTAGGGGAGCTAAATTCTCATAAATCAACATAATAATCATCATATTCAATCATTTGCATGATTTTTTACTTGTACTAGTACTTTGAACCCTATTTGAACTTTATAACTACATTTCTTACAATCCAGGGTACAAAATATGCATTCAAATCAATCACAATTAATGTAAATAGTCAAAATAAATCACATGATATCCCAGTTGATAGTTATAATCAAAATACACATAGCTAATATACTACAAGATGCCTACATTCAAGATTGCTTGGAATCCTTTACCTCAAGTCGTTTTTCCTCAATCTTGATCCGATGAACTAGTGCTTATAATATTGAGGAATAAGAGGAGAGCATAACTACTTAGTAATTAAAGTCAATCTAACCTATATAATTGCATGTCAGTTAATCATATATGCAGATAGCTATTAAACACCTCTAACGGCCCTAATTATGACTAATTTTTAGACATTAATGGCCCTTATCAACTAAAGATTTGTAAAACTAATAATATTAAGTTTAAATAACCTAAACAACTCTCACTAACTTAAATATTGAGAAAACGGAAGAAAAGGAAAGAGGGAAGCTTAATACTCTTACTTTTGATGTTAACAAGCTTCTAAATGCCACTCATCTTCCTCAAAAGCAAGCTTTAGCACAACCACAAGTGTGCTCTTTCTTCCTTTTCTTCTTTCTGATTTTGAACTCTAATGCAGGCTCGTTTAAGTAGAGTTTTGAATATGTGTCGCAGTGAATGGCACAAAAAGGCCCATTCTTCGCAACTGGCCACACATGTGCGCAGTATGTGACATAGAGATACTCTCTTTAAATTTTCTCCCTTTTTTATATTCAGGTGACCCAACTTTATTTTGAGCCTAAATTTAGGCCTAAAACTACAACCAAAATTACTCGATAAATCCCTTTAGCCATACACCACATTAATTAACTCAATCACTCTCTTTTACTTCATTTAATCCAATCTTTAATTTTTGAGATGTTACATGCATTATATCACAAAAAAATTGAAATTAAGGTTGTGTTAACCAGCAAACATGCAACTATATTAAATATTTGTTGGAAAAGCCTAACATTTTTACATGTTCTTCTCAATTCAACTGGATTATTTGAATCCTAATATGATTTCACATATCAAGAGTTGGCTAAAAATACTTACTCACGTAACATTGATTTATAAAATAATATATTTATTATTAGAATTATATACTTTTATATTTTCTTAAAGTTTTTTATAATTTATAGATAAAAGAAAATGGCATTCAGGTTTATAAAGTACATTAATAATTACCAAGAATTTAAGAAATTAAAATTTTCAAACATCATAGAAATTAATTACTACTGTCACAATTCTTAAAGCTATTATTCGTATATCTTAGATTAAATCTTTTTTTGGGCCAAAAAATATTATATATTTAATGTAGATACTTTCATCTATATATGGTAACTAGTTTAAAACATCGTCTCATGTCATGCGTATGTAATACTTCTTTTGTGCCAAAATATATATCATTTTATAAAATTTTTGTTTGATTCAAAATAATATAGTATACTGGGTAAGTATTGTATGTTTTTTTCAATTATACCCTTACATTATTGAGTAATTAATGATTATGTTTTGAATAAGTTAAATGTTATATTTATTATAGTGAAGAGCATGATTTGAAAAACATAAAAATTTTTAGAAATTCAAGATTTTAACCAATTTTTTTATAAACATAAATTAATTAACTATGATTTATACTGTTATTAACATCAAGCATAGTGTAAGGAAGAAATTCTATCTCGCAAAAAAAAAATGCAATTTAAAGGAATGTGAATAGTAACTTTCATAGAGAGTAATATTAATGCATTGTTTCTATAATTTTTACCATGAAATGCAATTTTGTACCTACCCGTGAAAAATGGTGGGTCTTTGATGTTTGTTGGTTTGCGTTCATGGTTATTATTTAGTTGTTGGTTCCTTGCTTGATGTGTGTTTTAATTTATCTTGAAAGCTTCAAGCTTTGTTTACACTAAACTAATTGAATCATGAATTTAAATTTTTTTAAAGTTGGCATTGGTGAAATTCTGTGAATTTTTTTTAAGAAAGAGAGAGAAAATTTACATTTTATTAAAAAGTAAAAAAAACAGAGAGAAAATGCTAACAAAAAAAATTACATAAATTCACTAATCCCAACTCCTGAGGATTTAATCTTTTAAATCACAATGTCTGTGCTTAAGCCTCCTCCCGAGTAAAAGCAAAATGATTTTATTATATTCTACATAATATCTCGTTATGAATTTCTAATTAATTATGATTAACATTCCACATCCAACTAGCTTTGAAATTAATCTAGGTTTGTAATGTGATTGAGTTCAAATACTGGAGAAAGTCTGTAATGGTTACAGACTAATTAAAGGCTAGCTTAAATCTTATACCATGATGATCAATTTCTTGAATTAATATCACAATGTAAATGGCTTTGACTTGAAGAGATATATAATAAGGACGCGCAGAAACAGATCCAATTTATCATCATTATTTTAATACCCAGAGTGTCATTATTTCAAAAATAACTTACTTAAAAATACAAAAATGTGTAAATTCACGGGAATATATAGCTAATTCGAATCATCGATGATTGAGCAACTTGCCTAGTTGCTCTGTTTTTTTTTTTTTTTTAAGGAAAGCTAGTTGCTCAATTGAAGGATTTAGACCGTCTAAATTGTTCTGAAGAGGTCAATTTACAAAATTTCAATTTATATTATTGAATTTAATCTTAACTGAAAAATGGAAGATAAAATTAAACTAATCTCTTAGCTAAAAATTTAAAAAAAAAATAAAGCATAATTGTTTTAAAAAAGAATACAACTTCTGTTCATGATTGAATATAATTTTTAAAATTCCTCAATTAAATAATAAATCAATTTGTCCAATATGTAATAAACTAAGGGAGAACTAAAAATGGATGCAAATAAGAGGAAATACAACATATAAATCTTATGTATTTATTTTTACATTACTACACACACATATCGTATGCAAGCATATACTAGAAGGAAATTAATTTATTGATGTCACTGTCTAATACAGCTATACCATAATGCGACATGTCTGGTGTAGCATAAAGTATGGTCAAAATCATAAAAACACAGGGAAAAATAAATTATACATGTATGTATGTATGTATCATATTAAAGACATAGTGGTCTGAAGAATGCACTATTGAGCAGACGTATGGGCGGCGAGGGAGGGGTATGATGGGAATTGAGAAGGAGATATTATTTCGATGATCCCCAGGGAGCTAAAGTCGGAGCAATTAAGGAGGAACACAATGATCATAAGATAAGGTTTTAAAAAGCAACACATAATAATGATTAAAGGACCTCAATTTAACCATGGTTAAGGAGAAAGGGCTCTTTGGTCAACACAATAACCCAGAAAAATACAAGAGCTCTGGAAGGAGGAGGAAGGAAGGATGGGAATAATAATAAAAATTAGATGTCAAATAAGCTTGTTGTGTCCAAGGCCGTGACATTGTGCTCTTAGTGTTGCAATCACACTAAGCACATTTTTTAAATATTTTTCAAGGGTGTGTTTTGATACCCTTTCACTCTGAGCACTTAGCCTAGATGTGTATAAAAAAAAAAGTTAAATAACGATAGTATATTGAAAAATAGTAAAAGACTGTAGTAATGGGGGCATTAGATTGGAGCGAGAGTTGGTAAAAGGAAGAAAGAAATAAAAGTAAAGAAAACACATTAGAGTGAGAGGCAGCGAATCAGAAAAAAGGTGGCAGGTCAATGTGGGGTGGTGATTGGGAGGTCAAACGGTAAATTGGATTTTTTGTTGTCTGGGAAGCACTCTGCTTGAGAAGTGGGAACTACCCATTTCCGTCGGAGCGTGATGTACTATTACTAAATTACAGTATACTCCATCCCTGCCACAATTTGGATATATTTTTTTTTATAAATCTTGCTTAATTTAAAATACAAAGTATTGGATTTAGATTATATTTTTTTAATTTCAATTATATTCTTGCCTTAGTATTCTACTCAAGTGCTCCCCCATCCTATATTTGAGACAAGGTTATACAAACTAATAAAATATAATATGATTATTTATAAA